ACATAAAACGATAGCATTCCAGCGGATGCGTTCTACAACCTCTGAATTTGCCTAGTAACGAAGAATTCGTCAAGAAAATGGAAATCTCCTATGAAAAATAATCTGTATTTCTCATTGTTTTTTTTTATTCTTTTGCTTAAAACTAAATATTTCATATTTTTCATGGTTTATAATAATCAGAGTACGGTAATACATATGCATTTTTCCTGAAAACAAACTTTGCCGGGAATGGGGCTTTAACGTTGCAATTTGCTTCAGACGCCAAAGGTTGCTACTTGATTTGTATATTTTCCTAATAAATATTGCTTACGCACGAAGGACTGGAAAATCTAACCCTCATTGTTCATCCAATGGACACGTAACTGTCAGACACAAGGGTGATCATGAGCATTCAATTAACAAACGTTTATTTTTTATTATTTTGGCGCGCACTATTGAATAGATCAATTAAGAATCATTAGTGCAGATGCTCGTTTTGTTAGACGTGAAAATAACTTCTTCTGGTAATTTAGCAATACCCTATTGTGATATTTTGAATTTTCTACTTTGTAGACAAATACAATTGATATGTAATAGTATAAGCATACTTGTTTGAGCAAGCACTTTAAACTGTCCTTGGATTTTTAGTCCGATCTGAAGACAGTTTCCGTAACATCTGGACTAGAACTAGTTATTCCAACGAACGAAGAACCACCGTGTCAAAATAGATATTGTAAAGATGAAGTATAAATGGTTTGGCGTAGCGGGACCAAACCTCGAGGTCGGGGTTCCAATCCCTCGCTGTGCATCACTTGTGTACTTTATCTGCATTGCATCTCTCCACCCAGGAGTATAAGTAGGGTTAAATGCCAAAATGCGCTGATGTAGCTGCTGAAACGTTATTATATGGAATACTTCCCCAGAGGGCTTAACAATATGCGCTACTTAAGTCGTATATTATTATTATTATTTTTATTATTGTTATTGTTATTGTTATTGTTATTGTTATTATTATTATTATTATTAGTTATTTTTTTTAATTATTATTATGATTATTATTACTGCTACTACTACTACTGCTACTACTACTACTACTACTACTACTACTACTACTACTACTACTACTACTACTACTACTACTACTACTACTACTACAACTACTAGTGAGGCACTGGGCGGGACCAAATATTTGCAGTGGAGGGGTAACACCTGTATAAACATAAGTTTAAATGACTTGGGAAACTGTCTCCTGTCTTGTCACCATCCCATCTTTTAAGAGATTAAAATCCAACAATAATATTAGCGTGAAAATTATTCTCATAAATTATCCCCACTCCTAAAAAAAGAAAAAAGCTGCTGAATATTTACTCAACATCTGCACACTTTTTCCAGCTAAAAAGCACTCTAAGATATTAAGGGTGGTGGGGGAGGTCAGGACGTCGACGGCAATCACCCCCTGTGGATCGGCGCGGCTCGGAGTATGATTTCAATAATCATTGGTGAAACCTAGTCGACCAAATGCTGCAAGTATTGCCATATATAAGAGAATATTCTAAAGCATAATACTGAATACTGCTACGTATTTAACTGAAGACCTTTGCAAAATATGAAAGTCAAATTACATTTTAAATATAAAGGAACATGAGCCAATAATTTTGTTTATAATGTTAAAACAGGTAAGATAGGACTACTGGTAAAAATATGGTTAAAATGGATTATACTATGCAAGCTAAAGTGTTGTGATGAATGTACACATTACTTATTCGTCACATATTGACTTATTTTAGCGATTAACATGGTCACTAATATTATATTTTATTTCATTATATTTAGTGAACATATACGCATTTGTATCAGTCGCACTCACTGAAGTGGCACGTTCACTTACCTACTACATACTAAATAGTCCTTCATTGTAATATACTGTACTAACGTATTATTTGAATAATGAATTCTCACATGAGTTGCTTTTGTAGCTTGACAAGTCCTAGTCCAATTTTGTAGACTCGTTTTATTGTAGAATTATTTTTACAAAATTTGAATGGGCATAAATAGGAACTTAAAACATGCCAATAATGGTAAGACATTTAAATGAATGATGTACGATAGGCCTATATATTTCTTTCAGAGCTGTGCACGCGTCTGGACGGTAAATCGTCACAAGCATTTGTCCTTATTAGAATGTGGTTATAGGAAGACGCTTTACTTGTTGCCGTAATGCCTGAGCGGGATATAATTTTCCAGTTACCGATCCAGATTAACTGTCGACTTTCAATTCAAAAATTGTTCGTTATTATTGATACATTGTTACTTGTACAGACATTTATAATGCGCCTTTTCCTTGAGGTTATAAAGCGCACTACAAAAGTCTCATTGCTCAGGGAAAAACTTTAGGCAGCATGTACTGCAACATGACATTTCAATTTATTGGTAGTCGCCTTGACAAATAAAAAAAACACTAACGCAGGGTTTGCCCCCATTCAAAGCTACACTAAATTGTAACAAACATAGATTATAATAGGCCTATAAAACATGTTTTTATTTAAAAAAATATTCAAACTTGTAAAAAATAATTAAAATAAATTGTAAAAAAGTATACCAAATAACTTGTACAAATTAAGTTATATTAAAATAAAGATAATACTGCAGATACGTATAGAAAACGTTAATGCTTTTCATAATTTCAGTTCAATAGATCATTGTTTTTACTAAATACTTATAAAAATGTTAGTCAAAAATATCACAAGTTTGTTTATTTTTCTAACGTATCAAGTAGGAAATGTTTTTAAAATTAAGATGAGCCGTTAACAAATGTCCCAAAAATAGAATAGTTGTCTATGCAAGGCATCATTTCTTAAAGCATCGAAACATACATTTTTGAATGGAAGCTAGATCTTCACAAGCAAACAGGAAATGGACATTACTTGGCCGGAGGATGTGTCTGAGCATGACCATCCTTACATTATGGGCGCTTATGTAGGTTTATAAGATTAACACAACGGTATAGGTCCACCAGAAAATGATTATTGCATAGAAACCGTTACGTTTCTCTAACATCAGATACTTTAATAATATGACTGAAATTATGATCGAATTTCAAACTTTTAATAAGTTCTCGTTTCATCTTTCCAATTACAGAGTCGTATTACGTGTTTGCGAGATTGTTCTACCAGGTTCTATACGGTACTAATTAAGCACTAAATTATAAGGACTAAACACCGTGCTATTTTAACATCTTTAACTTCAGTTCGAGTAAGTGACTCGGCACACCTCCACTCTAGATACCTATTATTGAAGTTGCTGCTTCCAAGTCAGTTTTTATTACATTCAGGAGTGATTATTGCAATGGTGTCTGAGTTACAATATGCTACGGATGCAACTCAACACAGTTGCTCATGTTGTCACACTAAAACAGCTATGATTCAGCATATCACTCTCGAACTACACTGGTTGCCCACCCAAACACTTTGTAAACAAATTTGATTTTACCTCAATAATCTTTCCCATGGCTTGATTTATGATTCGTTATTTGCGTTTACTAAAAGCTTCATAACAACTAAACACTTGTAATAACAATTAAAGTAAAAAACAATTGTCAAAATAGAACGTTTTGTATTTCTCTTCTTCATTCTGGTAAATTGTGTATCGTAACTGATATTCGGCTTGATATTGAAGAAGTTGGAGTTGTCTAAACAAAAACAAGTTCCAACAACTTTAGGAACTCAATTCCGCCATCGAAAATCTGGATTGAGAATAATTATTCCAAGGATAAAATATTTAACAAATAAACATAAGGTATATATTCTTTTCGATTGCCCAACATCCTATCGATACTAATGCAGTTTCCAAATCAAATGTTCAGTTTTATTTTTGCTGTTTCTTTGGTTGTTTTTTGGTTGTTTTTTTTTTTTTTTGTCAGTTTATGGATTTTGTGCATTGTAAATTTCGAACATAAATAATTATTACTTGTTCCCTAATCAAATTTAATAACTGGCCAAAGCATCGCTAAGGAAACGCGCTTGTCCCGTTACGTTACGTTTTGTGTTTTTGTGGGACCTCAACGACAAAAGGAGTTTTCGATTGAGTGAACAATGAGCACGTTCACGTCGACTGCAGGCGACCGTCAACGTGTTCACTACTCATGGTGATCCACCGCTGAAATCAGTTTCGATTTCAGTTGACGAGAAGTCAACATGATGACTTTTTGAGCAAGGATCATGCCTTACCATCATGGCGAATCTTCATAGAGTCCGAGAAGCGATCCTCTTCGGATATTTCAGCATGTAATGTGCTTGACGATGAAAAGTTTGTGCTTTTGTACAATGCTAATCGACCTGTAAACTGGTTCGATGTCTGAGATGAAATTATTTGAAAATTGCATAGAACTCTGCTTAGGCCTAGTAAGATCCTTTCAACGGGTCCGGTATAGCCCATCTTGAAAAATTGACGTCATACAGTCAACAGGGCGAGTAGATTTGGGTCTACGGTGAAAACCGGGGTGAACGCGTTCTCAAATCTGGTGGTGAGCGAGGGGTTGATGATCGCACATGCGCAGTCCTTGAAAATGACATGTCAAGGCGTCGACTATGTTGACGTGAAAATCAAAAAGTGCCTAATATCCAAGGGTGGGGCTTAGCGGAAATTCAAATTTAGAATTTTGCTATTTTTGGAAAGAACAGAACTAAAGGTTACGGAGGCTAGGTGTTATTATTTTATTTATTTATTCAGGTATAATATACAGATATACAAACGGCAACCAAGGGCTAAAATAAGTGTATTTACAAAAACATTTAAGAATATTGAAATTATTATATTACAAAATTACACCAAATAAGGATAAAACATTGAAAATTCATACAAAGAGATATCAACTTAAAAATTACTAAACTTAATTATGACACCTAAACGTTCCATCAATGACATCAAGATACGATAAATATAAAGATAGGCCCATAACTATACGAAAATTATAATTAAAATGGTTATGGTTTTATTATTTTACTGTTTCACAGGGCCAACCTCATTTCACTTTGTAATTTATTGAACTCACGTAAAATAACCTCCAAGTAGTTGGACAGTCTGATACATATTTGTCGTTGTGTCTGTCTGTCTGATTGACTTATTTACTTACCGACCGATCGACCAGGTGACTGACAGACTGAATGACCGAAGACTAACCAATCGGTTGACGATAAAATCAAAATGTATATATCGCCACCACAGTCTGATTGGTGACTTGAAGATCCTCTTCCTGTTCTATTTAATCGATCCCGGAACAACAAATATTGTTATCGTTTAAGTTTATGTAGGTAGTAAGTTAATTCATTATGTTGCCTGGAGAATGGAAACGTTATTGTGAAAATCACCTGACTATGATGTCTCAGTGAATTTTGTTAGCATGCTATATTCAATGAATATAACACATTGTTAGAGACAATTTAGAAGATGAATACCACGGACTTGGAATCTTCTTCACTAGTGACTATTGTCTTCAGGACAGTGATTATGATCATAATTATGGTGTTGGCCCTCGTGGGTAATTCGATAACACTTGCAATATTGTACAAAAAGGAATCGCTTCGCACAAAAACATCTGTGTTTGTTGCTAACCTCGCGATTGCAGACTTATTGAACGGACTACTGGTTATGCCTGTGATTCTCAGTGCCTCTATTGCTAACAACTGGCCATTTGGAAATGCATTTTGTCAAGTATCTGCAGTCATTACTGTACAACTTTGTTTAACAAGCATTTCGACGTTATGCGCAGTAGCAATTGAACGGTATCACTCTATCGTCAATCCAATGGTTTATGAATCCAAAATGTGTAAACGGAACGTCATTTTTCTCTTAAGTTGGACTTGGATCCAGCCATTCGTATTTTCGATGTTGCCAATTTTAGGCTGGGGAAAATATGTTTACGTACCGTACATATTTACATGTATAACTCCGTGGGGAGATGATACAGCCTTTACTGTAGTTTTATTCCTTGTTTGTATGTTTATTCCATATGTTATAACAGTAAAAGTATATTATCATATAGGTAGGCTAACTTTTAGACTCCTAAAACGTGTGAATAACGCCGTATCAACCGGTACATCGGGACCGATTTGTTACGGTTCCCCGAAGAGATCCGACGTGAAATCTGCCTCGGTGTTTGCCATCGTACTTGGCACATTCACAATTTGTTGGCTTCCTTACCAGATTATTATGATCTGTCAACTGTTTAATATAACTTTACCAAACTGGTATTTTACCGTTGCAGCATGGCTAGCGGTAATGAATTCATCCTGCAATCCCATTATCTACTGTTTGATGAATCGACAATACAGAGATGGATTTAAGGAACTTATACGAAGGCATCGTTTACAATACACTTACGATAAATGATTAATTTTGCCTTGCATGATATGTACTTCAAATGCAAGCGACATAGACCTACAAGTTTATTCAGATAATTATAACATGTCACTGTTTGCAATTTAACCGCCTTGAACAATCACCTTTACATGGATAAGAGCTTAATTATAAGTACATAGATTGATTGCAGCACAGTATTAGGCCTATTATTTTTAAATGCGTTTTATTATTGAACGATAATTTGAAATTCATTATTTTATTACGCAGTACAGTACTATTATTTTTAAATACTTTTATTATTGAGTCATTATTTTATTATTGCTGTTGTTGTTGTTGCATGTAGTACGGTAGTGCATATTACTATTAACGTAGGGATTTTCCCTCCCTTCTCCTTTCTTACGCTTCCTTTCAATTTCCCAGGAGATGGCTATAAATGATGCAATGTAAATGTATCGTCTCTGCTCCTGTATTCTGAATAACGGTAATATATGAATATGAAGTCCGTACAAAATAGAAGAGGTGTACCATTTTGATTCGCTCCATTCCAAAGCCGGGCACTCATAGTGCCCGAAGGTCGTCGGGAGACACGATTATTGAACGCAACGCCATGACGCACGCGCAACGGATCGTTTTCAATGCCGATATGTTCAGACTGCCACCGATAATACTCCATTAACATTTAAAGCTCTGTCCACAACATTTTCTTTGACAAACAATTGTCGTATACCCATAAACATGATGTGCCTATAGATATATGGTCACGATGTGATGCCATCGTGATCATAAATAGTCATGGCAATTGTCAAATAATTTGATAGCCTGGATAAAGCTTCAAAAGATCTATTTTACTGTGAAGAAGACGTACAAATATATTAAAAACATAAAAAGAGCTAAAGATGCAGGAAGGAAAGCGCGTTCATAATGATTGATAGGCCTACTGGTGTTCAATAATGAGAACCAGTTCGAACTTGTTAAACCACTACAATACTAAAACGTTTTGATCACTGATTAGAAATTGAGGAAGTCACATCACTCTCTCGGAGAGGTCAAGACGTTGCAGGAAATCCGTATTTATAAGAATATTTTTCAAATTGAATTTCACAGTGGTGACAGTAATCTACAAAACAATATTCACGTACATTTATATTTCAAACAATAGCATAGCCTACAATAAGCCTTTAATAACTGGATTATCAACCGAATTTAAAAATTAATGACAGCACACTCTATTAAGCTTTAAAACCCGCCACACTATATGTCGGGTCAAGGTCTGAGATAGTTGTAGAACCTTCTATTATGTTTTGGTTATCTTTTTAACCTTTTTCCAGTTTTGTAAAGAGTAAGAATTCGGTAAATCTACACAGTCAATCAAATTTCATTTACTTGTGATGTCAGACTTTGTCTAGTGATGACGTCATACTAACTGGAGCTCGGGTCAAGGTTGAGATAAAATTCATGATTTTGAAAAGCATCTGATGTAACCTTTCGAATTGTGTTCATTCAAACTTTTATTTTGTGTGTATGTGAACCACATCTCATTAAAAGTGGTGGAGCCTTAAAAAATTGTTCGCATTTGTAGTCCAAAAGAGTTCCCCATGTGGTATGTGGGGTTCTCCAGATAGCATATAATGATAACAATCATTTCTATAATAATAAATACCTCGCAAGTCCAGGTGAACGAACATATAATTTATTTGGAGGACCTGTTAACTAACGTAGGCCTGTGCTATCTTAACATATTTCGCTCTACCTCAGACCTTTCTCTTTGGTATGTTTGTGGTAGTCTTTATACTGCGATGTTTAAGCTCAGTAAGCCATTCTTGAAACAATATCTTAGCAATCAGCAGTAATGTGAATAAACACAAGCTAGACCATCAAAGTTTAGAGGTACCAGCTCAAATGACTCAGTATTTTAGAAACACACACACACACAAATACCGTAATTTACTATGGTAAACATTATTATTTTTTTCTTAATACTCATATCAACTATTTGTAGGTGATTTCGGAATCATAGGCCTATTATAAGCCCTACTAATTTGAGTAAAGTAATACGTAATAATATGTTTGTTACGACTTACCGCCCAACACATAATGTGAAGTTTGAGATTAGGCCTATATGTTGGCAGTGGCGTCGAGAGGGGGGTCAGGGGGGTCGCTGCCCCGGTGCCCGGGTCTACTGGGGGGCCTTACAAAGATGAAACATTTTCGGGGTAAGAACAAAATCTCCATAGGGCCCGAGCCCAAGCCAGAATGAAAACAGAACAAACTCTACATTATGGTTTTATGGGCGTCTTTCTCAGTCTTTTTATTACTAGATGTATGTATATACGTGTATTATATATACAGTATAATTATTACCGTTTATTCATCAGATTATTCCGATACATCTACATTGCAAAAAAATAATCACATGGAATCATATTCATGTATGTGGGTTTAAACAAATAGGGTCTTAGGAGGAGACTTAATTTGTGGAGCGGCCGAGTGGGGGTCCCAAGTGAAGCTGGGGGGGCATGTGAGGTGTTGTCCCGGTGGCCAGTACCTGTCTCTTATACACATCTAGATGTGTATAAGAGACAGGTACAGTACTATTATTTTTAAATACT